CTCACACTCTCACTTCACGTAGAGTGGTTCAGTAATCTCAAATGGCCTCCATAGTGGTGCAGTTCACAAGCTAGCTAAGCATAAATAATAAAAACATAAACGTGAACATAATATGAGATAATTATATACTCACTAGCGCACAATCAGCAGAAAAGATCTTGTAGAAATGTCTGTTTACTCAGTGGCCATCTTTGCAACGCCGCTGGGCAGTTATTTCTAGCCATACAAGACCAGATTCTTGTCTCTTTGAACAGGGAGAGACCAAAACATTGAAACTGAAGGTCTAATTACAGTTTCAAAAAAATATTTGAGCTCACTGAGAAAACCTGCAAAAACCGCATAAATAGCTTGTAGTGTTTTTGCTCTAATGCACAAAAAAATACATTTTTCGGATTGTCCTGGCTAAAGCACTTGTGCAGATCTCCATGACAAAGGGGGGTTTTCCCCACTAGTTCCAAAATATCAGCGACACTCCTCTGCTTGCGACATAAGGAGCAAGCTGATTGGCTCTTTTTATCGATGGGTGGGACTTTCTTGGTAAACAGACACCATGTTGAGTGTTATGAGCTTTCCCATTGGTATTTCAGCCATCTCTGTCAGTAGTAAAAACGTTGCCAGCAGTGGGGTGATGTGTGCAGCTATGATTAGCCAAGAAGTTAACATAGCCATTAGCAAGCTGGCTAACTCAACGACCACAAGCAGTAAAACCACAAAAGTAAAGATAACAATACAGCCTCCTGACTGACTGCGTATCTCACAGTTTCTCTTTCGTGTGTTTATTTATACCCTGTGGGGAGTAATCGTTAACAGGTTTGTGTACTGCTAACATTGGCATTTCTATATTTTAGATTTTCAGTGCTGCTATATGAAGAGCCGCCCTTTCAGAGGTCAGTGCAGCCAGCTCAGTAGTGTTATTAGTCAAAGATGTTAATTCGTGTGTGAAATTTGTGAGCAAAAACGTTCACTCTAGGCTGAAACACTCTTTATAACTTCAGCAAGTGTGGGCGGGGCTAAACTGCTACAGGCTGAATAGGTGGATATACATGGGTCATTCTCCATTTTGAGTGGGAATTCAGGTGGATACATTTAAAAAAAAATATCTATTTCTTTCATCCCAAAACTAAATAATCTTAATATGTCCATTAATCTCCTATTATCATATATGCAAAGAGGACAGTTTATTCCTAACATATTTTACAGTCACTGGTGTTGTATGAATATGGTGTAACACCAGTGACGGTGACTCCAGTGACCTTCTGGTTAAAACTGAGGATTTTATAAATTGGCTCATTGGTCGTCAGGTGACCTTGTGCAACTATTTAAAATCAATAATAAAAATATGGATATTTGGCATTATTTTGACAACATTTTAATTACCCAGCCATTAAAGTACATAACACCAGTGACACATAGAAGTTATGTGCTGCCTGATTAACAAAATTATTAAGAAATTAATGAAATATAGTGAACGAGTGTGACTCGCCTTCTCAGGCCTTTAGATGCTTCCTCCCTGATGAGCCTCGGCCCAAAGAAGCAGTTTAATAGAGCTGAAAATACTGTGTTCAAATGTAATACAAGAGTCCTGATAACAGCAGTGACCGAAATCTTCATATTAACATATGTGACATATTAATTTTTTAGATAAAATACATATTTTTAAATGTAGTATAATGTTAATGATATAAAAAGTAAACATGAATCGTTTTATACAAATTCCAAAGTTAAACCTCTTAAAAATATTGTTTTATATTAAAAATGGTTTCTCAAATGTTTAAAATTGGTTTTGTGATGAGCTGTTTTACAGATGCAGAGCGACTATGAAACAGGATCAAAAAAGAAAAATCAGAGAAATCATGAGGGAAAAGTAATATTTAATCTTAGGTCAACTGTGTAAATGTATATATTGCCTTTTGGAGCTGTGCCGAATATTTTAAGCGCCTTTTTAAGCCCTGCAACCTTTGTGACATGGTTTCTCACTCCAAATGGAGAATGACCGATGTAACTATGTTGGATTTTTGTGACATCACAAAATCATCATTTAAAAATCGGCTGTTTTGTGCTGCTTATTTCCCATATATAGACAGTGTGGAACGTTTTTAAACGTTTACAATAATTACACACAACATCTAACACTTCTATCTAAAAAAAAGAGGAAAAATCACTTTTCCCTGATATGATCCCTTTAACTGAAGCAGAACTGTTTACCTTTGCACTGTAAGAACGCTTTTCAGCTGTCACTCACTGATTATGTTTACCTCTTCCCTCTCTCCTCCTAGTGCACTCCCTCTTTAGATAACTATAAGCTGCCAGTCACAGCGGCCCTTAATTCTTAAGCCTTGAAACTCACTCCTGCAGAGACATGACATCAGCCTCCCGGGCCAGATAAACACTGTCCATAAAGCCAAATGACCAGGGATTATAAATTCAGCCCGTTTGGGTTCGGGCTGTGTTTCCGAAAGCATCTGATATGCAGAAGAAGAGCACAAACCCTGCTGTAACTCTGTGTGCACGTGTGTGTGATGAAAGCCTGTTTTCAGGCCGGATCAGCTCGTCAATCCCAGCAGGGAAACGTGTATGTTAAGTCGGCTCTGAGGTTAGCACGCCTGACACACATCCTGGACACTTAAAGCCACAGGACACAGCGCACGTCCATATAGACACAATACAGAATCATTCAGTAAAGAGGGTCGATTCAATTATAAACTGATTCAGTTCGACTCTTTAGGATACAATTCAGTGCATCTTGAAATCTCACCACCAGCTTCACCTTGATTCAATTCAGTTATGATTTGATTCAATCTTATTGCTTAGGAAATGATAATTAATGATAATAGTTACTGATGAAGCCTCAAATTTCACCATGATTCGATTCAATTACAAATTGATTCACTTTTGTTCTATGGGAAAGGATCACTAATAAAAAAAGATTCAATCTCATATTCCATCCTGATTTGATTCAATTTAATTCAATTCCTTAGGAAACGCTAATAAATAATAATTATTTATTATGAAATCTCAAATTTCACCATGATTCAATTCAGTTACAAATTGATTCAGTTCTGTTCTTTAGGAAAGGATCATTAATAATACTGATTCAATCTCATATTCCACCCTGATTTGATTCAATTTAATTTAATTCCTTAGAAAATGCTAATAAATAATTATAAATATTATGAAATCTCAATTTTCACCATGATGTGATTCAGTTATGATTTGATTAAATGATTCCTTATGGAAACAATAATTAATAAATATTCATTATTAGATCTCAAATTTCACTATGATTCAATTTAGTTACTGTTAGATTCAATTCAGTTCTTTAAGAAATGATAATTAATAATAACACCTTATTAAATCTCAATTATAATTTGATTCTTTTCAGTTCTTTAGGAAATGATCATTAATAATGATAATTAAATTATGAAATCTCACCGTGATTTGATTTAATTACAATTTGATTCAACCCGATTCTTTAGGGAGCAATTCAGCGCGTCATAAAATCTCAAATTTCTCCACAACTTGAGTTGACTTGGTTCGTTTCAATCATTTTGGTATGATTCTGAATCATTTTCAAAAATACACTGAGTACACAAATGTGACTAGAGGAAGTATTTACACAGGAGTGAGATATAGACAATAAAAATGATGCATCAAGATGTTTCCACATATGCAAATAGTCCAAATAGCCTTTTGTATGTTTCACAACCTTATTTTAGGCCAGAAAGTGAGCGCGTCACAGTTTTATACCCATATTCACTACAGTACTGACTCCACACTCCCTACTTATCCCCATACATGCATACTTTATGGAGAGACTCCCAACATCTTAGCTACACAGTCAATGAGGTCACACGCTTACCTCAGGTCACTCTTTAAGATGAGCGCAGGTGATCGTGGCCTATATTTGTCTGAGTGCTGATCCTTTGTGACCATGCATGTTCATTCCTAGACTCATTTCTACTATGTGCAATAGCATTCTGCATTAATGACTGGGTTTTCAGTGATTAATAGTAACTACAGCTCCATTATAAGGTCATCTGCTACTTCAGGAGGCTCTTTCTGATCATTTTATACTTGATATTACATTTCACTTCGTTTATGTATTGAATTACCCAGTAGGATCTTAAAAAAAGTTTTATGTTAGGAAATAACTTCAGGGAGCTTCCACAAAGCAAGATTTCTTAGTTTAGCCAGATAACTTAAGCCCAAAGTCAAGCTTGTTCAATAGGAAAAGAGCTGAGGGACATTCCTATTGGCCAATCGTCACCTTTTGGCTTATTTGGCTGGGAAATCCTGCTTTGTGGAACACCCCCCTGCTCTCCAGCCAAGTAAGCTTAAATTGAGGCAACTTAAAGGCACAAACTTTGTGGCACTAGTCGGGACAAAACCTTGTATCCCCATTTTTCAGTTTGACACAATTTGAAAAGGCTAGTTGCCTTTTATGTGTCAATTTCTTGATGAACAGACCAAAAGAAATGGTCCAAACTTACTTGGAAAAATGTATTTATCCATTTACTTCCATAAAAAGTTAAGAACTTTTTCCTTGACCTCTAAAATGACCTTTTTTGGAGATACATTTTGTTCAAACAGTGACAAAATGCTTTTCTGAGTACATCATGAATGTAGTCAGTGAGTGAACATGGCCCAGCTACGTTTCATTACAGAGCATTAGTTGTTTACCTGGACTTGAAATGGCAGAAGTCACTGGGTGACTTCAATGCCATTTTTAATTATATGGGGCTTTTTGTCCATTTTAACTCCTCAAACCTCAGAAACACCAAATATTGATGCATATAGTGTGAAAAAGCCTTAAACCAATGATTTCACACAACTTGGAAACCTCATTTGTCTCAGGTTAAAGAAACATAACACTCCCTGACCAAACCAATTAACCAAAGGCTTCCTAATTATCCCCATCACTAATTCAATTGCACTAAACATTAATCATAAATCAATAAGAGTGTAATTTTAAGAAAAACAGAAAAATTAAGTACAACTCACAAAATAAAAGTCAGGTTTATTGTTGAACAACAAACTTCACACACACAAACAGGCCAAGGTAAAACAAATATGCAGACAAAAAAGAAAGAAAAGTAATAACTCCTTTTCTTTGGCCTAGCCCTCCCATACAAAAAAAAAAGAACCAAACAAAAACAAAACTAGTTTATGGTACAACTAGTTATGGTACAACTAAAAGTTCATACATAAAACTTTACTGGAATGCTCTGAGTTAAATGGCTGTTGATTTTTTTTTATACATGTTTCCATTTTCTGTTTTGCTGAAGTTCCAAGACATGGTCAGACAAGTAAAATTTCATAAAGAAGCACCGTTTTGGTCACAGGAGATCATGATAAAGTGACTGATCTCTTAACAATATGTACAAAAATATAAAATGTAAATAAAAATACAAACAAATCCTCGTCTTGTGTATTTTTTTGTCGAGAGTGGTGGGAAATCTGGGCGGCGGGTGGTCTTTCCTCTAGAAAATTTTGCATTTTGGGGGTTAGTTGGTTGAACGTGGTGGGTGGTGAACTTGAAAAATGACCATGTTTATGTTTTTGAGTCCTTTTTACGCCACTGGCTCCAACAAACGTGCTGAGGATAAGCAGCGGGGAACGATCCTTTAATCATCGTCGTCCGTCTTCTGCTTCTTGGGGTCCACCTCGTCCTGGAAGACCCGGAAAAATAAAAGGAGTCGATGATTAGCGAGACTGACACTAATGAATGGAGCTAAAGGCTAACATCATGCTGGGCATTTCTTCCTCACCTCATCATCCTCGTCATCCTCATCAGCCCCTCGTTTCGTTCCACCTCCGAGCTCATCCTCTTCGTCCTCATCCTCGTCTTCATCTCCTGGAGTAAATAATGAGGCTTGAGCTTAAAATAGCCAATAGCAAAACATCAACCAGTAAACTTTTAGGAAAGCAGAGTTCGCCCACCTTCTCCGTCATCCTCCTCATCTTCCTCGTCTACTTCATCCTCCTCTTCCTCATCAATCTCTGGCTCTCCGTTCTCCTCATTTTCCTGTAAACACACATGTATAGTCAAGCCTTTGAGCTTTAATAGGAACAGCTCATCCATGATTATGGCAACATTAATACTTCCTATTCCTTTAAAGTGAATGAATTACCTTTCCATTAGCAGCCTCCTTTCCATTTTCCTTCTCCTCAAGGAGCTTCTTCTCTTTCAAGTCCTGAAAAACAAAAATAAACAAATCTGCTATACTTCCCTCCATTCACTTTGCTTTGTTGATTTAAAACAGCCATTAAGGACAAACTGGCTTGGACGCGCCCTCTGCTGGCGCGCACTGAAACTGCAGCCATACTGAGGGGGCGGAGCCTTTCTGTCATTGACATCTCATTGGCTGCCGCACAGATTTCCCGGCTGTCAATCAAAGGCTCCTAGGGCCCGCCCCTCCTGCGAGTTTAGCGGCTCTGTAACACGACACTCGGACGCTACCGAGACACCATGGGTATTGTAGTCCGGGCGAATTGCACACCATATGCTGCTGAGACACACCCGTAGAGCCGCTCCATTAAAAAAGGCACTCGTTTGAGACACCAGCTGAGGTGCACGGAGAGTGGAGGAGAGGTGGCGGTGAAGGGCTGCGTCCAAAACCGCAGACTAGCGGACTAAATAGTGCGCCAAAACACAACACCGCAGTTGATAATGCGTATGCGTAGTATATAGTAGTACGTGGTTCTAGATCACCATCTAAAACTAATCGAAAGGACAAAAGGGGGCCACACGGCACACATGGCTCTAACCATCCATCTCTCAAACCCAACCCCCCCTCTCCTCCTCCTCCTCCTCCACCTCCCTCCCTCCCCTCTGCTTTCACGTTATCTGCTGGATTTAGGTCGTGCGGTGGATCCAGGCTGGAGGTGGCCAAGCACTTTGATCCGGGTTTGCACTATTTAAATGTGGCCATGCAGAGCGGCGCTATCTTAGCTTGCGCTGCGATCGCCAATGTACTTACAGAATAAAAGCCATAACCTCGCGTTCGTGTTTACATTAACGCGTTTATATAATGTTTTAGCCCTTGAGCCATTTAAAGAACCCAGACTGCCGCCCCCCCCCACCTCCCTTTACGACCACAATTGTAAACTAGCCCAGCCAGTGTATGATGTGCAGGTATATTTGCTGTTCTGACCTTTTTAAATGATGACCATTCATAACCAGGCTACTGCTTAATTAAAACACACATGCATGCATTTGTGGGGTTTTCCACGATGGAAATAAGAAGTGTAGGTAGCAGATTGGCCAGATAACAGCACCATGTTTCGTGTATAGACTAAAAAAAGAAGTACAAAAGCGAACATTAGCTGAGCGAAATCCCAAAATAGACCAAAGGAGGGGAAAAAAACCACATGAATCCAAATAAACCGAATACACGCGGGTTACGCAGTCAGCTGCCCCAGCAGGCCGGTTGTGAAATGAATTAACGTTAATGTTTACCGACTCGTTGGGAATGAACGCACTTCAAAACTCAACTTTTAATCTCTGAACCACTTTCAAAATCGATTTATACCCAGGCAGGCGGCTCTAGTTACATCGCACCAGCGCGGACGAGGCGTAAATAGGCTAAACACCACAGCGCTCGCCAGGCTGCACGGCTAAGGCAAAACGTGGAGGCTGAAAACGGGAAAACAATAAACGCCCGGCGGACAAAACAGCGGACAAAGTGAACAGGGCGACCGGCACGAAGCTGAAGTTACCCCCTTTTTTCCGAATTTCCCCGTTCCACCTTAAATGCTGCAGCGGTTACGATCTGGCGAGGCGCCAGATCGTAACCGCTGCAGCATTTAAGGTGGAACGGGGAAATCCGAAAAAAAAGAAGGTGCCGAATAAGAAGCCCGCTTCAGCCCCGTCACATTAGAGGCATTTAAAAGGCACCAGATGTTGGATAAATGCGGGGATTATGTCCGCGCTGAGAGGCTCCGAGGCTCCGGCGAACATCGCTGCGTGTATAAACAAAGAAACCCGCGCGGAGTGACAATGAGACCGGGGCGCCAGAAGGGCTTTTATTCAAATAAAAGCCCCCAAAATCCGCACATTTCACTCCTTTTCCTTCACCTACCAAACCACAAAACTACTCCGCTCTCCCATCGCCGCGACAAACAGAAAATGCCGAAATGTTTTGTCCGCGTATTGGCGCCAAACGACGCGAGCCGAGAGCTTTAAACGCAAACGGAAAGAAAGGAAGAGAAAAAATATTTTTAAAAAGATAAAAATATAAAAGTCCCTTCGTCCAAAAGCTTCTTACCTTGGCGGAAATTTCCGTGGCGGAATCCACTTTCGTGTCGGCCATGATTTTAATATCGAATAGTGATTATTAAAGAAGGAGGAGGAGGATTTTCCCCAAAAACAATAAATAATTTAATTTTTCTTTTCTTGTATTTCCTTTCCCGTCGGCCGTGAGCGCTCTAATGCCGCGAGCACGCGCCGCACCAGCCTTTAATATAGAGAGGTGGGCGGAGTCGGAGAGGCGGAGCCGGGTGATATGATTGGTCGGAAGGATTCGAAGTGGGCGCGGCTTTCTGTGCCGTGGAGTGGAACAATGGATAGTATTTCTAAAAGGGAAAAGGACGCACATACATACACACATTAATCTCTGCGACGTAAGAGCAGATTGCCCCTTAAATAAATAAATAAATAAATAATTAAATAAATGAATGATATAAGTGTGTATATTATGTTCTCTGCAGCTTTCAGGAAACGTACGTTGTAAATCTGTAAATCACTGTTTTCTTTTGTTTCATTAGCTTTAATTTATTTTTCATTTAAACTTTAATTTTGGCCATGTAGCCCAAAGTACTACTAAGAAGGGAATTATTTAGTATCATTGATATTAGTGTTATTATTGTATTACAACATGTACATTTATTAGGCTAATGTTTCTTATGTTAAAAAGACAAGTGGCAGAGCAAAAAAAAAGTGGTTTTAGCTCTTTACTCCTTCTTCAACACCGCTCCCCCCTCCTTAACGCACTGCGTGAATTTCGCAGTGCGTTGCGCGTAAAGCGCAAATCCTCTTGCGCTACACTGCACTGCACAAAAAAATGCGGACTGCAGAAAAGGGGAAAACTTTGCGGGGTGAAAGCTCCGCGATTACATGATTAAATGCATTATTAAAAAGCCACTGTAGCATGTGGGTCGTGCTTAACACGGCCCGTATTAGAAGACACCAACATTTAGATTACAGTCCATTGTTTGGCTCTGTGGTTGTGAGAGCTGTGAGTCAGAGTGATTGTGTGCAAACACGATAAAAGAAGAGCGTTTGTTTTAAAACCGTAATGTGAACACGCGTCTACTCGCTTTGGTGTTTCCGAACAAAGAGAGAGAGAGAGAGAGAGAGAGAGAGAGAGCCAGAGCGACAGAAAGAGAAAGGGAGCGAGCGAAAGAAAGAAGGAAGCGAGAAACGAGAGCGAGCGAGAGAAATAAAAGGGAAAGAGAGATAGAGAGAAAACGAGAGTGAGCCAGAACAATACATGTAAAAAAAGAGAGAGAGAGAGAGAGAGAGAGAGAGAGGTAGAATTAAAGAGAGAAAGCGAGAGAGAGACCGAGAGCGAGCTAGAGCGACCGAAAGAAGAGGAAGAGAGAGAGAGAGAGAGAGAGAGAGGAGAGAAAGAAAGCAAGCAACGTGAGCGAGCGAAAATAAATGAGAGAGAGAGAGATACAGAGAGCGAGCTAGAGCATTATAAAGCGGGAGAGAGAGACAGAGATAAAGAAGAGGAAGAGAGAGAGACCAAAAGCGAGCTAGAGCGACAGAAAGACAAACGAGAGAGAGAGAAAGAGAAGGAAGAGAGAGAGAGAGAGGAGCGACTGAACGAGGGGGGAGGGGAAGGAGGGGGATTTCAGCTCCTCCATCATAACCTACATTCAAATTCTGCTTTGACGACGACGCAGTTTTCAGAAAAGCGTCTCTGATTGGCTGCTTGGTCGTAAACGCCTACCCTACGACAACATGATTGGCTGCCCGGAGCCCGTAAACCAACCACGTGACTCTCTCGGCTGCGCCATTGGCTGTTCGTTGAGTCAGTCACAGTTACGGAGCGCGGCGAGCTGGAAAACGCGGACACAGAGTGAGATCTGGATTGGACTGTGGGGTTTTTAGGCCGTTGTGCTGCTGGAGATCTGCTTGGCTGCAGGGTTCAGCTCCAGCCCAGATCCTACACACCTGATCCGTCTGATCAGGAGCTTGCAAAAAGATTGATTAGTTGGATTAAGGTGTAGAAGATTAGGGGACTAAACTCTGCAGGACAGTAGATCTCCAGGAGCAGGACTGGGGGACAACATCCAGAGATCCAGAGGAGAAAAAGAGTCAACATTAGATCTCATTCAGTCTCATTTACTGCTCTTAGATGTAGTTTAGTCTGAAATCAGTGTGAAGCTGAGGTCATGTACCTGAGGTATTGTGCATTGGAGAAACCAGTGCTGTGTCTAACTGTGTGCTAAATGTGAATACTAACACTTTACTATGTACACTGTACAGATCTTAAAGGGGAATTCCACACAGTTTACAAAATTTCTGCATAATTAAACCATTAAGATATAAACAAAGTCATTCAGAGTAGTTTGATGTGAAATGCTCCATTCTAGATAAACTCAGAATTGTTCACAGTTGTTTACAGCGGTGGTGATAGGAACCAGACGTCTGAAGTGTTTAATGCATCTAAAAGCTCCCTCACAGAAAGTTATTACATGAAATGGTTACAGATATTTTGTCTGGTGCCTGAGACAGTTTTACGATACTTTTGGAGAAGGTTTGGGCCTAAAATGTATTGTAGCATGTTCAAGAAATGTGTCCATGATAGTTGTAGGTTGTCCTTCAGCATGTATTCACTGGGTTCCTTTTGCTAAGGACTCTTATTGTAGAGGGCAGGGCGAGGAGCTGCCCCAATGCGAGCGTGAGAAAACAGAAGAAGGACGAGGGGACGTGAGCTGGGTAGCGAACTAGCTGTTAGGGAAAAGAAAACTCTGCTTATGTACGGTCGTGGCTGTGGCCAACAACAACTGGAAAATAAAGCACCATGACTTGTGCCAGAGCTGTTTCTCTTTCAGTAGTGCTGTAGTAGTTTTTACAAACAATTAATGGTGTTGAGATACATGCAGTGTTTTCCACTATTTTACCATCATCAACATTACATATAAACACTCAAAAGACCTGTGTAGATTGCCTGGTGCTTTGGATAGTAAATATAAAAGGCCTATATTTGTGTTGTCATTGTGACTCCTGGTTCCTATCACCACCACTGTAAAGACATCTGAGGCAGTAAGTTTCTCTACAACAAACCATTTCACACTCTAAAGGAGTCTGTTTACATCTCAACCACTGGATTATGCAGAAATTCTGAAAAATTGGTAGAATTCCCCTTTAATAGAGTACAGTTTTGGCTGGTGTTTGCAAAACATTAACATAGTGCATTGTTTTATACTAATAGCAAGTGATGATGTTATATAAGGTGGGACAGTAGTGTCCACCAAAAAGCATGAAGAGCAAGTATTCATGTGGGATATTTTGAGTGTACTCAACTGTAACACTAGTCAATATACTACATACAGTACTGTGCAAAAGTCAGAGACCACTTTCACCCTTCATTTAATTACTTTCCAGTCAAAACAGCCATGTGTTCATTTTTTGGCATCGTAGAAAAAAGCAGAAAAGAAATTCAACAGGAAATTGCACAGAAACCTCAACAACTAAATATAATATCTAATATTTCAGTATTATTGTGTCACTCTTCACCTTTACTACAGCTTCCGTTATTTTCAGGAGTCTCACTTTCAGTTCCTCAAAGAATCTGCAGACACACCTCCAAAGTTCAGTCTTAGAAGCTGGTTGATCATTTTCTGAAGTAATCAAACATATTAAGTGATGTTGAGGTCTGGACTCTGGGGTGGTCAGTCCATTGTTCAGGTTCTTTGTTTGATGTGTCCGTCTCCTTTTCTCAGTGAGGTTCTTCTTGATCAGCTACACATCCTTTCAGACCCACAGTGCTGAGTCGTCTTCTCACAGTGGAAGGATGGACAGAAACACCTGTGGATGTTTTCAATCTGAAGCAGCTTGATTTTCTCTTCTCTCTCAAAGATGAAAGCTTTAAGCGCTGTTTATCTGATGGGGGCAGTTTTGGTGTCCACCAGGTCTTCCAGGTGGTTGTTAGGAGTCTCATTTTCTCTGTAGTTTTAACTTATTTTCCTTACACTTTCTCCTTCTTTATGCAAGTGATGCAAGATTACATCTAATTTTCTCAGAAATACCTCCTGAATCATGAATAACTTGTACTTAATGGCTGTTTTGACTGGGAATTAAATAAATGAAAGGCCATTGACTTTTGCACAGTACTGTAGTCTATTCAAAGACCAGCTAGAATTAGTGTTTAGTATACAGTTACAATACAGCAAGTCCTTTAAAATGAAACATATACATTTGGCCTGCTTTAGGCCGCCTTTTCGGGCAAAACATGCCAGAGTTCTTGTCCTTTATAAAACAAGTGCATTTTAAACACAATGGCCTTAACATATGCTTAAGACAGACTCTCTAAGCTTTAGTGTAAACTGCTGCCACATTGCTGTCGTGTAAATTTGGTCACACTGTGTGTAAATTAGTCTGAGCCTTTAATAGAGTTGTGTGGTATCAGAGAAGGGCTGTGATAATCAACACCTACGAAAACAATTAACGGACCAAACCCAAATTGCATTTACACACCTCCTCAACGTTAATAGTTAAAGGAGAAATGTGAAAAAACAGTATTTCTGCAAGGGATAGCAAGAAAACAACCATCCAGGACACCTCAGTTCTACTGTCTAATAGAAACAAATGCTTTTTATTAGCTCCATGCGTGTGGTGCATTAGAGAAAATGTAAAAATGAAATGTTAGTGCTGTTCTATAATAAGGTAAATCAACTTTTATCAGTGAGTTATATATTATTCTAGACTTTATTGTGTTTGCTTATTATCATTTATGTGAGAACATCTGAGACGTATCCAAGCACAAGGTAATAACTGCAATTTAAGAAGCATAGCTTTGCATTTTAAGTTACCTTCAACGTCATAAGATTGTGCAGATAATGATTGTGTTTTCATGCACCCAATAATTCGATCATAATCAGTTACCTGATTATTCAAATGGCCATGTACACAGCATAGTCCGATTTCTAAGACTGAAGTAAGGTCTAGAAATCCGATTAAGAAATCCGATAAAGAGAGCTGAATTTTAGCCCAGTAGTCAGATTTCTCAGTGCATGTGAACTCTTACTCTGATCTCTTTCGGATTTCTCAGTCTGCACATGTGCCAAAACAGTCGACGGTACCGGAAATACCCAAGCAGCGTTGGAGCAACGCTGAAACCGACTACATGCTTGATGAATAAAGGATTTAAATATTCTTCACCCCCCCCGTGTCTGCGTGGGTTTCCTCCCACAGTCCAAAG